ACTTGCAGAGGCTACAACAGTATGGCTTTGTTCTGTACCTCTGTTAAAAGAAAAGAAATCTTAGGCAGAGTAAGAAGCTACCCAGAGGCTCCCCTTCTGCAGGGCACATAAGCAGCACTCCTCCTCTTCTGGCACTGCAACTCTGACATCATCATCCCTAAGGAGCAAAATGCTCTCCAAGCTAGGATCGTTCAGGAACTTTCTCCATATACTTTAGGCGGTGGCTGTGGGTAAAGTCCCTGCGGCCAACCACTCAGCTCAGCACACCACCACTGTCATGAGTGTACAAGGACAGTAAATAGCAAGCATTGTCCAGGTACAGGTATGTTCCAATAAAACACTCTACGGTACTAACTCCAATTCATATAAATTTCACAGGTCCCAAGGAGTATTCTTTTTTCTTAAACATTTGAAAATCTAAATCTCAGTACCTGGTCCTAAACTTTGAATTAACTGAATCCGCAGAAATAAACTCAGTTAATTTTTTACAAGAGAGTGTTATTTTCTCTCCATTCTTTCTCAATTCTCTTAATTCCACTATCATTTTTACCCCAATTTTTAAAACTTTTGGAACTCACCTACAATATTATCTATCTGACTTTCAACTTGTCACACCCATCTTTACTGTCTTTTTATATCCACATAACTAGACAGTAGAGTTAAGCAGACAGTTCTCAGCACATGCAGGGGCCCAATAAATTCTGACAACCACAGAGAAAGGGTAACAAAACTCATGCTGTGTGTGATCTGAGAGGAGGTTCAAACCTCCTCTGACTCTACAGAAGCCTAATGTAAGGCTCACTGGGAAGAATTCAACAAGCTTGAGGCTTAGAACATTTATACAACTGTGGATCAACTGAGTAGCACAGCCTGCTTCCATCAGTGAAAATTTGCTAATTGGGATGACTGAAGAGCACACGAAAGTCTCTAGTCTCATGAGGGTGTGAGATCTGCAAAGCTTGTAAGCCACGAAACACCTATGTCACTTCATAAATGAGGACACCAAGAACTGGACAAACTCAACAATTCCTTGAAGGCTCAAGGTGGACCATGGCCCCCCACCACCCAGAGCTGACCCACACCTCTCAAAAGCTGTGGTTTCAGGATAAGGTACATATACATTATGGTCATCCTCTCTCCTAGTCCCACAGTTTTTCCTCTGGGGTCACAGGTCAGAAAATGTATCCACACATTTAGACCATGTTACTGTTTTCTAGGCAGTTAGCAAAACTCAGATTCTAGAATTTCTTAGCACCTACAATACCAGCAGCAATAGTCACAACCCCTGACCACCCCAAAAAAGAACAAAAACTCCATGAGGAAAGGAATTAACTTTTATGTTTCTGTAGCAGGCACTCCAAATCTATTACACACTCTGCAGCAGGAATTCAAGCAATATTTTGTGTTAGAAAGCATGTAATTATATACAGTGCATGCTACATTACAGGGTAATTTCAACAACTCGGATGAGAAAAATCAATGAGGCCTGATATTCATAAATTCAAGATCTTCAGGGCTGGGGTGTGACTCAAGCAGTACAGCATCTGCTAGAAAGCAAGAAGCTCTGAGTTCAAACCAAGTACCATGAAAAAGGGGAGGGAGGAAGGGAGGGAGGAAGGAAGGAAGGGAAGAAGGGAGGAAACTTCAAAGCCATGAGCTTCATGAGTAGGAGAATAAATCATAGTGGTCTCAAAGATCTTGCATATGACTAGAGACTATAGAGGGTAATATAGTCTCACTGATAAGTGAGACTGAGGGTATATAGGCAAATTTTGGCAAAACAATGAGTAATTACAAGAACTTTGCTTTACAGCCAAATTTCCCAAGGCCAGTGTGACTTAGAAACTTCAAGAATGGAGAGGACAGCCAAGTCAAATCTGGGACCAATTGAGCTTGATACTGATGAAGGTGCTAATGACAGCTGGTGTGTCCCAGAAAAAAAACACCTTAGTAAGGAGAATTTAGTAATATACCCTTGTTTTAGCTTGCAAGTTTGAGGTCTAAAATTCATAGGAATGTTGTTCCTTGCGCTTTCCTAGCAAGGCCCTCAGTTCAAACCCCAGTACTGCCAAAAACAAACCAAAAGAAATATTATGCCTTAACTCAGTGGTCTAGGTTTTCATTTTAGTTTTTGGAACCAGGATGTGAGAACATCATAGAGTACACTTACCCAAAAACACTTACCCAAACCTACATGGTACTGGGATTTGAACTCAGGGCTTCACATTTACTAGGCAAGTGCTCTACCACTTGAGCCACTCTGCCAATCCCCCCAAACCTACATGGGACAGCCTACCACACCACCGTGCTATAGACCTATATACAGCATTTACTGAACTCTGCAGGCAGCCGTAACACAATTTAAGTATTTGTGCATCTCAACATATCTGCACATAGAAAAGATACAGTAAAAATGCTATATAAAAGATAAAAAGGAATGCCTGTACAGGGGCCCTCACCATGCAAGGAGCTTGCAAAACTGAACTTGCTCATAGGCAGTGTTCATAATTTATTACAAAAATTTTCTTTCTTCAGTAATAAGTTAGGGCTACCTTACTGTAATATTTTCACTTTATAAATTCAACTTTTTGACTCTTGTAATAACACAGCTTAAAACACATTGAACATCTGTATGAAATTATTTTCTATCTTTATTCCATATATTTTTATCTACTTTTTTTTATTTTAACTTTTGGTTTCTCTCTATCCCTCCCTCCCTCCTTCTCTCTCTCCTTCTTCTGTCTAGATCTATGCAGGGTCTCAGGATCACTGAACTCCATCCCACTGGGAAGTTTTTAGGGCAGTGACTCATATGGAACTTTCCCTCCTGAGAAGACAATGCCCTCCTCTGGGTCACTCGCAAGGGCACGTCTGATGTTTCCAGGAATGTGCCACATTGGTTTGCCTACTCTGCTGCCTTTTCTCATCACACATGTTCATGTGAAGATAACAGGCTTCCTCTTTATTAAAGCAAACCTTTCAGCACTGGGTCCATGCTGTCTGCACTGGGGTGTGCGGTAGGCTGTCCCATGTAGGTTTGTGTAAGTACACTCTATGTTATCACAGCAACGAAATCACCTAAAGACACATTTCTCAGAACATATCCCCATCACTGAGCAAGGTACTCATAAAAAAGTACCACAGTCGTTAATACCATTACCAAGTATTATTTACTCTGCATAATTATATAGACCCACTGCACAGCAGGTTTGTTTTTAACAGCATTACCAAACTCCTAAGTAATGCACCATGCTAAGGCCTTATGACAACTACAGAATCACTGGACAACAGGGATTTTTCAGCCCCATTATCTCACAGGACCACTGTTACACACATGGTCTATAACTGACTAGGATGTCATTAACCCTGCATGACTATGCACTTAATGTTATCCATTTTTTTATTCAAAACAGTTATTAAATCAATGGCCCTTCTTCTTACACCAAGGACAAAAAGTAGTTTCACTGCATCACTGCACCAGATGTGTATGCAGAAAACTCTAGAAGCATCAATGGTCCTAGGCAACCTACTCTGGACTGTGCTTTCTTCCCTCCTTCCTGAGTGGCTCCTCTCAATGATTCACCAGTTGCCCCAACACCTGTTATGTTCCTCATTCTAAATCCCTTACCCCTAATGAAAATTAAAAAATACATACCATTTTCTTTCCAGAAGATTCCCAGAGACAAACATCTCCCCATGATGTGTTATAAAAGTACTTCTCTCCTGGATCAAAGTCTTTCAGATCCTTTTTAAAAAATGAAGAAAAAAAGATTATGCAAATTCAGAAGATACACAAATATTATAGTGGGACATGGTGGTGGCATGCCTGTAATTCTAGCTACTCAAGAGGCTGAGGCAGGAGGACCCCAAAATCTAAAGTCAGCCTGGGAAACTTAGCAAGACCCTGTTTTCGAAATAAAAAATAAGTAGGCTGGAGGATGTAGTTCAGTGGTAGAGTGCTTGCCTAATATGCATGAAGTCCTGAGTTTGCTCCCCAGCATCACAAAAAAAAAAATAAAATTCATTGGAATCTGCTGAGATTACTTGGTGCCCAAGAAATGAAAGCAAGGCAATCAGCAAATGTTGACACCATACCCACTACAGTATGAGAGCTCAGGAGATGGTTGAAATGATCCAGTTTAACTTGATACAGTACCTCTATCACTTGAGCCATACCCCTACCCTTAAATACATTTTTATACATAAGCAAAGCCTAAATGTATGTAAGAATTCTAAAACTCCTTCAAGTAAAGGAATTTTTACCCTGAACAGAACTTGCCACTATTGTTCAATTCATTTGGCTTAAGGCATGAAAGTGTTTTTATTCTAACCCTTTGAATATCTTTCTGGGCAGACATTACAACCAAGATCTAGAGCATACAGTTTTTTCTTGTATGGAGCAAGTCATTTTTCACTCAAAGTAGGTACATGCTCCAGTGAGAAAGTACAAAAAAGGGTGTTAGGAAAACCTGACCACTGGCTAGGAAAATGAGCTAAATAAGGCAACTCTTTGAGAAACACTGACTGTGACAGAACCTAGGAGTAGGTGATGAGAGGAATAATGAAGTGGTGGGTCCTAGATAGGAAAGAGCAAGAACAGCACATGATCATGTAGGACAACTGGGAGGAAGGAGGAAGGGTCAGGGATGCATCCACACACTTGCAGATGACAGGGTTAAGAATGAGCTGAGGTAGGAGATGGAACACAGTAATTTGCCTCACCTTTTCTCACCAACACTAATTCAACCCCCAGGTATTTACTATTGGACCTTGAAGGCTCAACTGTGATGAGACAGATGCTAACTTCACAGTTTCACAGGTGACACAGATGACTTAGGAAAAAAACTTCACAACCAAATGATGCCTCCCACTGGCAACAAGTGCTGTGAAGTTAGTTCAGGGGTAGAGGAATATAAAGCAGGGGAGCTACAACCCAATTAGCCTGGCCTGAGCATGATGAGAAGGTGGTAGAAGGACGGGTCCTGAGTAAGAGGAATGCAGAGCAGAGCACTAGGGAAAGCATGAACATCAGTCACGAGGGGAGAAAGTGTGCATAGCCGTGGGAAGCAGCACCACTACTAGAAGTAACATTTTCAAGTTCATGTGGCTCATGATACATTCTCCTTTTCACTTCTAAAGTTGAAGGAAAAAACAAATACTGTTACTTTGCCCTTGAGTGGTACAAAATTTTGCACAGTCATATCGGAATCGGGGATATGATGCTCGGATTCATAGGAATAATATGGTGAGGCAGAGGGTTTTGATGGTGAAGTTGATGGTGTATAGTTCTGGGGCTAGGGGGTTGTGGAATGCTCCTAGGAATATGATTGTTGTGAGGGCATTTATTATGATGATGTTCATGTATTCTGCTATGAAGAATAGGGCGTAATTCCTTCACATAGAAACGCAAACTGTGTCAACAGTGGGCATGACTTTAAGGTATGTACAGCCCTGGGAAACAGCCAGCAGTACATTTAAGAGAGTCTGTCCATGACACCAACTCAAGATGGGTCATCATCACAAAACCCCTGGACCCAGAGTCATGACAGAAGCCATCAGGAGCCACCCGAATATTTTAACATTTGAGCATCAAAAGAGAACCAATGGCTGTAGAGAACCGAGACATACATCACGGAAATTCATAATAGTGCTCAGAAAACCCAAAGAAATTGCATAAATCACCATCTGAAAAGGTTAAGTTACTAATTCACTCCTTTGAAAAGTGCTATCTTAAAAGAAAGGATAAAAACTCCGGCTCCTTTTCCAAAAGGCTCTACAGTTCAGAAACCAATGGTCCTCTGAGGAACATCTGTTCATAGTACGTAAGTGACAGGACCAGCCATCAGAAACAAACCCCAAGTTATCAGCTGACACTGAGTGCTGCACTTTCTGCCAGCAGGAAGAAAGTGACCACAATGGAGATGACCGCTACAGTGGTGAAGCAACGTGATGCTATGAGTTCCAATGTGATTCCAGAAGTGCACATCACATAATATACATTAATCTAGCCCAGACTGTACAACTGAATCTACTGGGCCTTTCATCAGATCTTCTAATCTAAAAGCACCTCACAAACAAAGATGAGGCAAACAGAAGATTTGGACAGTGTCTCTGAAGGACAGAAGTATACCACTATCAGCTAACACCCATGTTTACTGCAGCAGTATCCTAACTGTCAACATGCGGAATCAACCTAGGTGCCCATCAACATATGTGTGGATAAAGAAGTTATGGTACATATATACAACAGACTATTATTCAGCTACAAAGAATGAAATCATGCTATTTTCAGGAAAATAGATGAAACTGAAAGTCGTCACGTTAAGTGAAATAAGCCAGTCTCAGAAAGACAAATACCACATTTTATCTCCTATGTGGAAACGTTAAAAAAAAAAAAAAGAAGAGGGACTATTAGGGAAATGGAAATGAATCAGGGGAAGAGGGAACATCAAGAAGGCAGATTTGATCAAAGCACGTTGTACACATGTGGAAACATCACAGTGAAACCCTTTAATCTGTGTAAGTAATAACAGAATAATTATAATTTTAAAAATTCACCCTGAAATACTGGCTTTGTAATAAACTTGCACAGGTTTCCTAGAGACTGTAAGCACAGAGGTTCTCATGTGTATGAGTAAATACTGGGCAACAGCCAGCAGAAAGGAGAAGCAGCACAGCTAACAAGAGTCCACCTGGCAGGTGAAGCAACAACTGGGAACCAAGACACGAATAGAGCCTCACAGAGGTACTGCATTCAAAGTGGGCAAAGGGATCTAGGCTATGGTGGACCCATACTAAAAGCAAGCTCAAGAGAAAAAAGGCTCTAAAGGATCCTAAATGCTTTAAAAATGTCTTAGAACAAAGCCCCAAAATATCTAAAGGAAACCACAAAATCCAGGTTTCTCAAATTTCACGGTCCAGGATCCAGTCAAAGTCTGCCAATGATCCAAAGCAGTAGGAAAACATGACCCAAAACCAGAAGTACAAACAATGATAGAAAACATGAGTGCAATGAGAAGAAAAACAAGACAAATTACCTCAAATGCACTTGTATGAATGGAAAATGCAGTACCCACAATGCTTAAGTACTGCAAGTGCTTAAGAACAGATTCAACACCGCCAATGAGAAGCCCAGGAACTTTTTTTTAAGAGAGGATCTCACTACATAGTACAAGCTGACCTTGAACTCATGATCTTCCAGCCTCATCCTCCCAAGTGTTGGGTTTACAGGTGTGCACTGCCACACCCAGGTGGCCTGGGAACATTGACACAGCAAGAGAGGAAGACTGCAGAAACCCCATGAGCCCGAGTGATCTGTGGACAATACCAGTCGGCAAATTGTGTACTGTAGTCTCAGGGACAGCAGACAGAGCAAAAAAAAAAAAAAAAGAAGATGGCACAATGTTCTCCACACCCAACAGAAACAATAAGCCCTCAAATTCAAAAGGTTCAGCAGTCACAGCCAAAGAAACACAAAGCAAACCAAGCCAAGGTACATCATAATCCCAGTGCTGAAAACAGAGAAAAATGTCTGCCAGGAGGTAATAAAGAAGGGAAAAAAAATACTGGAATTCTATACCTAGCAAAAGTATCTTCCTAAACAAAGATAAACTTTTTTTTCAGAGAGAAAGCACAGAGCATTAATGAAGTAGACCAATATTACAAAATAAGTTAAAGGAAGTCTTTCAGGCAGAAGGAAATTGTTCAAAAGGGAAATTTACATCCACATAAAGGAATGAAGGCTGGTGGAGTGGCTCAAGTGGTAGAGCACCTGCTTAGCAAGCATGAGGCCCTGAATTCAAGCCCCAATACCACAAAAAGAAAAAAAAAAAAAAAAAAAACTTGTTGGAGGTGTGGCTCAAGTGGTAAAGCACTGCTTCCCAAGCACAAAGCCCTGAGTTCAAACACCAGCCCCACCAAAATAATAGTAAGCACAAAATAATTGGGACTGGGGATGTTGCTCAGTGGCTAAATGTTTGCCTATCATGAGCAAAGCCCTGGGTTCAGTACCCAGCTCACACACACACACACACAAAAAAAAGGAATGAAACGTACCAGAAATAGTAAATGTATGACAAACCCAACTAATATTCTCTTACAACACACAAGCATAAAATGCTTTCCAAAAATAGAAAAATGGCTGACAGGAAAGGATGCATGCTGCTAGATACATGGAACAGTATCACAGTAGACAGAGAATGAGACAGAGCTAACAAGACAATATGAAGGTAAAAACAGAGCCATGAAGAATTTCAATCAAGGAGAAAAAGAACAAAATAATGAACAAATGAGACAAGTTAAAAACACACTTAAATACCAGCACTCAAGAGTCTAGAGTAAGAGATCTTGAGTTCAAGGCCAGGCTGAGCTACATAATGAAACCCTGTAGCAAAACCAAACACCTTCAAGATGAGAGACGTAAACCTAACCATATCAACAATCACATTACATAATAAGGATTGGCAACTTTTCTTTGTACAGGCCAGATAAGTGGTTGTGTTCCAATAAAGCTTATTTCCAGATTTGGCCCACAGACCATATTTGTCCATCACCACTAGTTTAATTACTCAAGTTAAGAGACACATAGCCTTTCTTGGTGGCGCACACCTGTAATCTCAACAATAAGGCTGAAGCAGGAAGATCTTGAGTTGGAGGCCACCCTAGGCTACATAATGAAACCCTGCTTTAAGAAAAAAAAAGAAAAACTTAGGAGTTCAAAATAAAGAACAAAGACAAATAAAAAAT